CGAAGGTGGTTTGAGTCTCAGACCTGGCAGCTTGCTTTGTCACTTTCTCTCTCTCTTTTTCTTGGTTAGGGGTGCTGGACACTCCCACATAGCTGACCATGGTTCGAGTCCTGGACCTGGCGGCTTGCTTTCTCACTTTCCCTCTCTCTCATTCTTTCCCTCTCTGGTCAAATTAAAATGAAGTTAAACAAAATAATTCTTTAAAAATAAAAAAAAAGGAGCACTGCATCCTAATTCATAAAGTTGTTTTCACAGGGGTACAAATTAACAATTCTGAAATTACCATACATATATATTAGGTTTGATTAAGTAAATGGGATGGCCAATAGTGAGAGAAGCCAGTATGGAAAGGCTAGATAAAACATTACAACTATGTGACATTCTGTTGAAGTGGGAGGTTACAAACAGGACAGAGGAGGACAGAATGATCCTCATGTTAATGAATTAGTCGGAGACAGTATAAACTCATACTTAGTTTAATACTGATATAACTGGCTATATACAGAAATACTTGTAGATATGTATGACAAGCTGGCATACACATAAACATCTCCTTGCTCTGTCCAATGAGAAGGCCAAGAAGCAATGATACTCCAGCAGCAATCAGTAAATCCAGCAACCAGATCTTGATTTTTTATACCACTCTCTAAAAAAATAAACCAGGACTCCTTGGAGAAATGTCTGACTCCAGGACTGGGGTAGAAAACATGCAAGAGGAGCCTAGAGTATCTCTAGTGTCAGGAAGTAAGGAAGTACTCAAACAAAAAACAAAACCCACTAGGCCAAAGTTAAGTCAAAGGAACCAAAGAATCAACTGAAAGAGCTCCCAATGGCCAAAGTTGGAACAACCTGAGCAATAAAAATAAAACAGTATTGAATGATGACCAAAGTATGAAATAAATACTCATGAGGCCATACTAATAAAAATGAATGAATGAAAGAATGAAGAAAGAAATAAATGAGGGTAGATGAGACAAATCCCCAATTCCAAATAATCAATGTAGATACTGTTCCTTCATGGAGGTAGAGCGTAACTTCCCACCTCTTAAGTGTGGGTTACATACAGCAACTTTCTCCCAAAGAGTGTAGCACGAAAAGAAAGAAAAAGAATTAACCTTACAGTGGAGAAACCTCTTACACTGCCTCAGCTAGGCAGCCAGGTTTCACCCCAATTGTAGTACGTCACGTTGATAATATGCACCTTTGATCTGATGTGATGAGAAAGGTTAAGTGACCTCTGTGTACTTCCTCCCAGATACAAATTACTCAGTCTAATGATGAGAATAATAAGAGACAAGTCCTAGCTGAGGGACACTCTACAAAATACCTGACCAGAACTCCTCAAAACTGTCAAGGTCGTCAAAAACAAGGAAAGTGAAAACCTGTAAGAGTCAAGAGGAGCCTCAGAAGACAAAGACTAAATGTAATGTGGTATCTTAGATGGGATCCTGGGACAGAAAAAGGACAATAGGTAAAAACTAAGAAAATCTAAACAAAGAATGGTTTATAATTAATAACAAAGTATTGACACTGACCTATTAATTATGACAAATATATCGAACTAATGTAAAATGTTAACAATAGTGGAAACTGGGTATGCAGTATATGGGAACTTAACACAATTTTTCCATAAAAAAGTGCACCAGTGACCCTGGCTAGGTGCAGGCTGCGGGAGGATCACACTGTGAAAACTCTGCCGATGTGTCCTCCTCTCACCTTCTCCTTCCTCCCCTCTCTTTCGTGAAGAAAATAACTTTTAAAAATTGGGTAATATATAACTGAGCATTAGTGCCATTCTAATCAGGAGATTATAACTGAAGAAAGGCAAAATTTGGATGCATGCGTAAAATGCCTTTGATATTCAAATATCTACTTCACATTGGTTTTTTTTTTTTTCTTTTTTTTTTTGGTTTAGGGTTTTTGCTATAGGGCATGTGTACGTGCGAGAAAGAGAGAGAGAGAGAGAGAGAGAAAGAGAGAGAGAGAGAGACACACACAGACAGAGAAACAGAAAAGCAAGAAATCACCCCCTGGGGGAGGATGGCCACGCTGCAATCCCTTCTCCTCCATTCTCCTCTCGGGATTTTGGGCATGCACGCACACGTGCCCAGGGTGAGTTTAACCCACCAAGTCTAGGACTCGAACCACGGTTGACTACATGGGAATCAAGTGACATAGCCATTACGCCAACTGCTGGTCCCAACAATAGTTTAGTTATTAAAGCTATCTTACTCTAGACTGCTAAAATCTTAAGGTGGAGGCCGGCAGGTGGTGGGGTTGTTAAGGGCATTGGACTCCCACATGGCTGACTATGGCTCAAGTTCCAGATCTGGTGGCTTGCTTTCTATCTCTCTCTTTCGCTCACTCGCTTGCTCTGTCCATCTCTGGTCAAATAAAAATAAATAAATAAAATAATTCTTAAAAGCAAAACAAAACCTTAAGGTGAAACCAGTATCTTTAATTTTAAATCCTGTCTACCCTTACCACCACAAATCCAAAGCAAAAAAGCATTTACTGGTTTAGCTGGACTTTAGTAAGTCCAAAATTAGTCAATTTATAAGCAAACAAAAAATTTCAAAACTTAAAACTAAAACAATACAGGATTAAGTGAACTGTTTGTTGTCCAAAGACTACATCAAAGCTTCTGGAGGTGGCAGGTTACATGGTGGTTAAAGGCACTGGTCTCTCACATGACTGACTGTGTTTTGAGTACCAATCCTGACGGTTTTCTCTCATTCACTCTCTGTCCCTCTCTTGTCAAATTAAAATAAATAAATAAATAAAGTTAAAATAATTCTTAAAAAAAAAAATAAAAAGTAAAACTTCAAAAGCTTTACTGTAAGTGAACAAATGGATCTAGCCTATTAAAATATACTATTCTCTCAGCTTTTGCCCTTATCTTCAAACGTGTTGCAAGCTAGATTAAGTTAAATTTAGATGTATATATGGTATATAAGAGCTTTTACTAAAGTTCCCCATCCTTGTGCCATTAAATTTGAAAATGGAAATAAATTAGCAATGTATCTATCAACATTTTCAACGGGGGAAATAAACATGCTTGTTTATGTGATTATTTATCAGAGCAGCTTTCTAAACAACAGAGGATCAAGTAAAGATTATGCCTGCAAAACGTCTCAATTATGTAACATCTCTCTGGTTGCCTCATAAGTTGTATTAAAGTCTGGCTATCTATAATTCATCTACTTTTCCTGCTTATAGGAGTCTATCTAAATTATTATAGTGGCTATGTTAGGTGAAGAACAAGAAATAATCAGCAAAAATGGACAGAGAGACATTTGTTAACAATGTTAGGTACATTCACACAAATAAGGAAACTGAGCATATTATCACCTAAAATAAAGTTTAAATCTCTGCTAAGGTAAAGATTCCTTTTTCCTGCTTTAGCATAATGAATTTGCCACACTGATGTGGCATTAATCTTTGATTTAGGCTAGGTGTATTTTTATTTTATTGGCTTAGGTGAGCAGGACTAATACTAAAAAGAAAGGCTGAAAACCTGACTTTCATCCCTGGTTCTGACTCTCATCAATTCCAATGTGATATTAAAAAAAAAAATCTTTCTGGGCCTCTATTTTCTCATCTGTAAAATAGGGACAATAAGGATCCTATCTTTTCCAAGGATCATTGTGAAGGTAAAATGAAAAATACAAATAAAAGTACCTTCTAAACTGTTGAAACAACTTATGTATTTTGATACTATATTTAATTAATATATCATATCCAATATTTCCATATACTGAAAAGATGAGAAAGATTGGATATTAGAAATAAAGCATATAGGAATATAGATAATATGCCAAAGGCAAAAGAAATCTATACTTCTCAACTTTTAAGTTTATTATTATTATTATAAATAATATAAGGCATTTCTCTAAGGCCTTGAAAACACTGTTGCTAATCTGTGGTAAGGGATACTAAATCTTCTCATAAAAACTATGGAACAGCTTAGTACTGACTGAACTATTAGTTAAGTGTGGGAGAAAACGGTAGAGAGGGAAGTCAGGTAGGCAACCAGACTAAAGAGATATTGCAAGATTGGGTGGGAAGCTTTTTGGTAAATTATCAAAGTACCAGAAAGGTTTGCAAGCAATGGGCTTACACTTCCGTCTAGCACCCTTCATAATTTGCTCTCATATAGCAAAATTACCTAGAGTTTAACAGCAGTAGTAAGAAAAGCAGCAATAAATGATGAAAGAGGCCTGCAGTGATATACCACTAGATACATAATTTTTCCATTAGACATACTACAAAATAATTTTTTTCTTATTTATTTCTTTAGTTAAATATCTTAAGAAAGGTTAGGATAAATTTGGGCACACTTTCTTATATAATCTTAAGAAAAATACCTAGAAGATAGTAATGCTTTTCTTCATGGCATATATAGTGGGTCATTGAAAAAGTCATGACATTTTTTCTACACAAAAATGTATCATGACTTTTGTGATGATCCAATAATTTTTAAACTGTGAACACTGTGTTACACAAATTAGTGATTTAGCCATCCACTTCCAGTAGGATTGCTAGTTTAACTGGGATCTTTACTGCCTGAGCTGGCCATGTAACAAAGCAGGATAAATGAAACTGAGCAATAAACTGAGAAAGAGTACTGTTCTTAGAGACAGAAGACAGAACAGTTCTGTCACCGCCTTATTACTCTATTTTATGAGAAATTGTTTAACTACCCTATTTCTGAATTTAAGTCAAATAAGTTAATTATCAAATGTAAGCAAGATTGCCACCTGTCAGGATGTTATAGAGGGATTCTTTTATTGAAAAGATGTTGGGAAGAAATTCTAGTTTCTCTCTCTTTCTCTAAGATTCCAAAATCCTATAAATATATCTTCCCAAAAATAAAATAAAGGTGAAATTTAATTAATTGTTCCTTCTTCAGGATATCTTGAGATGAATTATATCAAAACAACTTTGAGTACTTATTTTTTCTGGTCTAATGATTTTTTTTCTCTCTCTAGAAAATTTACCTTTATCCTTATCCAATGGTTCCTGGGAAAGAATAGTGCACAGTACCGGGTTTTTCCACACCCCAGTCTCTTGAGCTAGAGTAGCTAAAAAATGCAATTCACAGCTGCCATTCTCCATCAGCTTTTCATGAGCTACCTATAAATATTAAATAAAAATCCAAATAATTACAACAGATTTTTAAAAGCAAGCTTACCAGGCTTTAAATATAAAATTTTGAAGACTTTTTATCTTTAAAATTTTCATGTTATTTCAAAAAGTACTGAATTCCTTTACTTCTGATATTGAAAAATGAATCTTAAGAATAAAAAAATCAGTTGTAAATCTCAAAACAATATATTGATAGAAATCTTTTTTTTTCCAAAATGTAAACCAGGAGTAAAGTTATTTCTCAAAGAAACTATCAGAATATGCATAGACATAAAAGACCTTACACATTTTATATCCTCTGTGTTAGAAAAATAATTTTTTCCCCAAATCATCTTTCATTAGTAAGATATGCATTAAGGCCTAAATGACTACTAACACATATTCCAAAATAAAAGGGACTTATGAAAAGAAAATAACTAATTGAATGGCTTTTCATTTTATGTATTACATAGCTTTGGCAATTTCACATTTCAGCCGACACTGAACCTTGCTTATTAGTTGCTTCCAAATATTCATGCAATTGACATAGTCTTCAGTCTACAAAAAAAATAATTTTTATTCATTTCAGAATATATTTATTGAGAATTTCTATGGGCTAAGTACTGAGGAAGAGAGCAACTAGGTTCAAATAACTACTCTATGATATTAGCTGTGTAAGTCTGAGCATGTAACTATTTTAGAGTATGAACCTCAGTTTCCTCAACTTTTAAAAGCCCACAAGGTTTTCACAAGGATCAAATGAGATATGTGAAATTCTTATCAAGCACAGTGCAGATTTTCAGTAATCAGTTAAACTTTTCTAAATCTCAATGAGGGCATTTTCTTTTGGGTTCCCTTCCTATTCTAGCCTGACTTAATGGGGCTATCCTCTAGTAGGATAAAACACAGGGAAAACAAAAATAAAAATAAATGCTACTGAGCGAGTAGATATACTATAACCATGAGGAAGCTCTGAGACGGGTGCAAAGTATTTAGTACAGAAACTCTTAAAGCTGTATGCGATGTTCAAACAAAAAGTCTATTCCCCAAAGCTATAAAAGTCTTCCCATTGCAACAAGGTTTAAGTGCTTTAAGAAACTTTCTTTGAACAGAGGCTAAATGCAGAGGGATTTTAAAGAGTAATTTCCTTCTCATTAATTTATATGAAAAAAAAATATTATCAACTAGTTGTTTCAAAAGTAAAGTTTAAAAGTTTATCTTATGTTGGCAAACAAAATCAGTAGTATGAGGAGTTCAGTATTATATTTGTATATAAACAACAAATTTAATTATGTGGTAAGGTGTATCTGAATGCCAAACAAGGAAAAGTCCTGAAATAAATATTTACCTAAATTAAGTACTGCTGAGAAAAACTTACGAAACAAGTTACTGACATGCTGAAGTAGAAACTGCATGATCAAAAAGTTAGTTGCAATGTGACAAACAGGACAAGACACTTTCATTTCAACAAACAATTGTTAAGCTTCTATTATATGTAAGGTAATAGGGGTAATCCTATAAATCCTACCTTCAAGAACCTTACACTTGATGTAGATTTTAATATTTAATATTAAAATAAGAAAGTTTATTTTTCTGCCTAATGATAGCTTATTTCACATGCTTCCTTTCCATAAGACTAACTCCCCTTCCTAATTCTTACAGAAAAACAAGGCCAAAAGATATTTTAAGGAATCTGGCTAAAGAAAGAGAGAAAGATAATACACCTTTTGAAACTAACCAATCAATCAAAATTTACTTGAAGTTACAATAAATCCAGCACCATTCAGTGCTCTACACAAAATGGAAAGTTCTTAAAAATACTTCAATAGTGCTAAACTGTGTAGTATTTTAAGTAAGCACATCAGTAGCACTAAAAGAAAACAAGCATGTGTTATCACATACAGGAGAAAAAGTATTGGCTTTGTAATTAAGAGCCTTGGTTCATATAACAGTTCTGTGATATTAGCTTGTAAGTCTGAGCAGATAACTACTGGGTTATCAGAAGTCATGATGCATTCTTGTACAGAAAAACAGGAAAATATGTCATAACTTTTCCGATGACCCAATATTTTAGAGTATGAGCTTCGGTTTCCTCGACTTTAAAATGGGGGAAAGATACCTATCTGCCCAAGGTTTTCATAAGGATTAAAGGACTCATGTTAAATTCAAGCATACAGCAGAGTTAAGTAATCAGTTAAACTGTTTCTAAATCTCAATGAGGGCATTTTCTTTTGTGTTCCCTTCCTACTCTGGCCAAGATGTAATGATGTGATCATAAGGAACTGCAACAGCCAACCAATCTATCTAAATGCATACCTCATTAAGTAAACATTTATTGAGCAGGTACTATATGCAAGATACTAATGTTGACATGAGTGGCAATGATGTTTGCTATGGCACACTGATGTTTGTTTTAAAGTTTAGCCAAATAATATTGTAAAGAATAAATAAAATTGACATAATATAAACCTATACTAAATCTAATAGGTAAACATTCTCACCTGCACCAGTGTCTGAAATTGTTCCCACTGTTTATCTGATAACTCAACAGGCAGACACAGTAATAGTTCAACACAGCTTCTAAAAAACAAAAAGTTGGAAAAGATACAAATAATTATTAAAATTCAAAGTAAAATAAAATCAGTGATTCTAATAGCATCAGTAGATTGTCCATAGCTAATCTCTTTAAACTACCACAAGACCTCCAAAAAACAGAAACTAAATCTAGTTTTTTATTTACTCAAAGGTCTACTCACAATGCCAAGCGTTCCAGAACCAATGCTACATTTTCACATTCAGAGGTAAGATAAGGTCGGGCTTTAACATAACTTTGGATAGCCACTGTGTATACCTCCAATAAAGGTAAGGGATCTTCTGAAGTTTTCCATTTCTCTGCATATTCAAGGAGTGTCTGTTTTGGAAGGAATAATAAAAAAACATTCATAATGTAAATCAAAATATATGTTGACTGTTTTTCTTTCTTAACCAAGAAATTTTGAAAAATAACATTTTTAATTTATAAAAACAAAAGTAGTTTATACGAATTAAAATATTTAAATAAAGTCAAAGTCATATTCCTGGTACTCTCTGTAGGAAAGTGTTAACAGAACTAGCAATAGCATTGTTTCATTAGACTAGTTTTAAATACAAGCATCATCTCTCTTTCCTAGTCAAAATGCCACTGTTTACCCAATATTTGCTAAGATTTAGAAGTTATTTTTAGGGTCAGCAGATGGCATACCAGTTACATCACTAGACTCCCACATGGCTGACCCTGGTTTGAATCCTGGACCTGGTGGCTAAAAACTCACACCAGGCACAAGTGCATGCATACCCAAGATCTCAGGAGAATGGAGGAGAAGGGACTATTGCATGACTACACACCCAGGGGAGTGATTTCTCATTGCCAAGTAATACTTGGCCAGACATAGAGTGAAGAATTTCAGAGTATTTATATTTTCTATTTTTCTTACCCTGTATACCCTAACAACAAATAAATCACATCTGGATTTCATCAGCAAAAATAATGATCTTTCGACAAACTTTATCATTTAAAGTCTTCTAAAGATCTTTAACATAAAAACAAAACAGACATTAAAGAATGACTGTAAGGTCAAGTAATTTTTGTAATGAAGTATTTATTTTTAAAATTAAAACTACTGTTAATCCTCAATGAAGCAAGTATTTCAAATTCATCTCATTGGAAATATAAAAAATGCTGTTTATCCTACAAAATGAAAAGATAGAAGCTGGTAAGAGCAGTTATACTGAAAAACCTACACTATGGATATAAAAATTGTTGAGTTGTTGGAGCCCAGGTGGCATGGTGGTTGGGGGCACTGGACTCCCATGGGTGACTGTGCTGTGGTTCGAGTCCCGGACCTGGCAGGTTCCTTTCTTACTTTCCCTCTCTTGCTCTGTCTCTCTCTGGTGAGCACACATACCCTATATTGAATTTTCAAACAAATAATCCTCTCTGGTCAAATTAAAATAAATAAATAAAGTTAAACAAAATAATCTTTTAAAAAAGTGTTGAGTTACTGAAAACAAGCAAGTTTTTCAATTATGCTAAATGAAGTGAGGCTCTAATTAAATGTTTTTATAATATAGAAGACTGTCACAAGTAATCTCTCCACATTCCAAAACTTAAGATTCATTTATTCACATTTGGAAATTTAGGTTTTCTTTTTTAGCACAAAAAGATATCCTGGGGGTAGAAGGGTGGGGTGGGGAGAAAGCTCTAGGAAGGCTAGTATTCTCTGGCATGGAGAAAGGAAAAAGGGAAAAAGGGAGAGAATTAAATTCTATTACCAAACACTCAAAACAAAACAAAACAAAAACAAAACTCAACCCACACTACTTTCTCTCTTCTAACCTTTAACTAGCAGAAGTACCAAGTGATCAACGAGAAGAAGGGAGGAAAAAAAAAAGTGGTAATGTGGTAAATCAAAAGATATCAAGAACAACTCACTTTCTAAGGAGCCATACATTTACGGACCTTGACCCTCTCTCAACTCAGACTCTGTTTTTACCCTAATAGTGAGGGCAAATACTAATTGTCAGGATGATCAGAGAAGGAAAAGACAGAAAACTTGCAACCACAGTGCTAGCTGTAGGGCAGGATGGCAGGGGACATTCAGCTAGGTCCAAAACCAGCTCCAACAGCAAAGAGAGTTGAAAAACTTACTTCTTAGCTATTCAGGAAAAAATACTCAAATCTTTCCAGATAGACCTTGAAATTAATTTGCTTTCAAATCACACTTTCACTTTATGGCCCCACTAGTATATTCAAAACTTTCATGGTACAGAATAGATTCTGTGTGGGAATAAAAAGAATCAGGCATAAATTCTCTCTGCCCAAATTTGACATACACAGAAATCCAAAGGTAAAGCCCTTTCTGAATTTGAAAGTTCAGGGTAAGAGTGGAGAGCAGAGTTTCTGTACAAAGGTACCCTTCTGGCATTCTCTAAGGGGGTACAGGCTGCTAAAAGTAATTATAAGTGAATGATACTGTAGCTGGTTAATATAGAACAGATGCTAAGGCTGCCTACCCTATATCCAAGGTGATTCAGGCTTCACTAGGAACAGAGAAATTAAAACCTCCGCTCTACCTAGTCATGTCACTATTTTATATATAATTCCAAATCCAGAGACTCACTCAGGAATGCTTTTATTTTTCCTTCTAAATATCCATCAAATAAGGAGTGTCTTAGATTTCTCGTGGATCTGAAATGGTTATACTCTCCAATCTTTCAAGCATCTAGATCACTCAGAGGCTAAAGTAGACTATGAACTGTTGAAAAATGAAAGTATTCTCTCACATGGTGATTTTAATTAGAGCAATTATGAACTAGGATTGGTTACTAGTTGAACTAACAAGCACTAGAAAAGACTAAACAAGAAAATGGGAAATTTGATGATATTCGACCCTTCAGTCAAAGGTATGTTAAATTCATTATCAGTCTTTTGAACATGTGTCATCATAGGAACACAGGTGTGACACAATAAAACATACTTCTTGGTGGTTGTCCTAGGTTCCTAGCATGGAGCAACTAAATATTTGACATCTCCTGAGTGATTAAGAGTGTCCTTCTCATGATATTGGCTGAAGGGTTCCTAGATAGCTTCAGGATGGGAACTCATCACCAGAAAGACCAAGGTGTGCCCAATCCTACTTCCCTGACCTCTGGGAGGGGAAAAAGTCTGAAGGTTGAGTTCCATCTCTAATAACCTATAATTTAATCAGCCTTGTCGATGTAACAAAACTCCATAAAAATCCCTAAACAACGGGGTTTCTGAGATGGCAGAGGGGCAGCACACCTCAACTCCACAGGGATGGAGAGGCTCTTGCACAGGAGCCTTTAAGACTACACCCCAAGTACCTCTTTTTTTTGGAGAGGTTTTCGCTATAGGGCGCATGCGCTCGCCAGACAGAGAGAGACATAGAGACAGAAAGCAAGAAATCACCCCCCAGGAGGGATGGTCACGCTGCAATCCCTTCTCCTCCATTCTCCTCTCGGGATCTTGGGCACACACGCACACGTGCCCGGCATGAGTTTTAAGCCACTGGGTCTGGGACGCAAACCGCGGTTGACTACGTGGGAGTCCAGCGACATAGCCATTACACTAACTGCTGGTCCCCACCCTAAGTACCTCTTCATGTACCCTTTATAATAGATTATATTAGTAAGTATAGCATTTACCCCCGAGTTCTATGAGTCACTCTAGTGAATTATCCAGCCCGGGGAGAGGGTTATGGGAGCCCCTGACTTTGCAGCCCAGTTAGGAGTGTAGCTAACTTGGCAACCCCGGTACTGTGACTGGTGTCTGAGGAAGGGGCAGAATGTGGGACTGAACCTGTGGAGACCAGTGCTATCTCTGGGTAGTTAGTGTGAGAATGGTATTGAACTGAATGGTCAGATACTTACTTGGTATCTGTTGGAGGGTCTGAGAAGTGGTGTATCATCAAGTATTTGGTGTGAGGAGTAAAAATACAACCTCAACAGGACTTAAATCTAAACAAAACCTACTAACTAAATGGAAAAAAAAAAACACCTGTATTCCTGGATCCTCTTGTGCTTACTCCTCTATTTCTAGGCATAAAACTATACGCACAATGTTCTGTAATTAAGAAATGCTGTATATGCAAACATTGACATGTTTGGTTTTAATGTTCTTTCTCCCTGGGCATTTTTATCTGGCTGTCATGGGGACATGATAAATCATGACCTCACATCCTCAAAGATTTCAGAACTAACATCAACTGTGCATACAATTCTTGCTGGCATCTGTCTTTATAAACCAAGCAATTCAAATACTATTTATTTTCACCTCACTTTACAGATAAGGATGAGAGAGAAGAAAGAGACACTGGCTGACAAGCAGGCTATTTAGGTAACTATTGTAGTCATCCCTAAATATAGGGAGATGAAAGAAGAAAAGGGATGATGCCAGGTTATGAGATGCTTGGAAAAGAAAACAGATGACATGCTCACACTGATTAGATGTAGAAGAATTAGCTAAAAAAGGGAATTACAATAAAAAGCAAGTATTTATATGGTCCAGCTTCGGTGGCACACACTACCGACTAGCGATTTGGTAAGTTACAGTAATATGATGATACTAATATGCCCTGTAGGGTGCACCATGTGGGCGATCTGGGTTTGATTTCTGGTTCAACCTAAAAGCCTTACAATTCTATGAGGTAAATACTATTTATCCAATTTTCCAGCCACAGAATTCAGTAACTTCTTTATCAGTTAATTTTTAAAAAATTTGCCAAAGGGTACATGCACTAGGTTGAGGGGAGGGGAAGTGCCTCCACTATAGGGAATGGTCACATTGCAATCCCGTCTCCTCCATCTCACCCCCCTTTCAGGATTTGGGTCACACATGCACATGCACCTGACGTGTTTCTCATGCCACCAGGTGTGGGATCAAGCTGCCTTCACCACCACACCACCAGCTAGTCCATTTAAGCTTACTTTTAGGTTAACTAATAAAGAAGCATAATCCTACTCAAAGCAGCATAAACAAACAAACAAGGTTTCTCATATAATAAAAAAATTAAGAGGAAGGGCAGGTTCCAGAATTGGTTAGTTCAGTAGCTCAACAATGTCTTCAAGAACCCACCTAGCTCTGGGAACCAGCAGTTAGCATAATGGCTATGTTGCTGAACTACCACGTGGTTGACCGTGGTTTGCGTTCTGGACCCAGTGGCTTAAAACTCACGCCGGGCGCGTGTGTGTGCATGCCCAAGATCCCGAGCAGAGAATGGAGGAGAAGGGATTGCGGCATGACCATCCCCTCTGGGGGGTGATTTCTCGCTTTCTGTCTCTATGTCTCTGTCTGGTGAGCGCACATGCCCTATAGCGAAAAACCTCTCCCCAAAAAAAAAAAAAAAAAAGAAC